TTTTTATTTGGTATGTTTTATTGTTTAAACGACGAACATGTACACTATTCTGAAGTTATATCATTACTGCAAAAATCACCAAATATTATACCTATTAAGTTTAATTTGTATAATTGATTTGTTGTGATCAAATATTTCAGTCATATTCTTTTTTATGCCGTAAGATTGGGAAAATGTTTCGTACCTTACCACATGAATTGATTATCTTCTAATGAGAAACCGCTAAGCAAAACTTTTCCTATCTGAGGTTTAATCAAGGCTATCTATGGTCAAAGTGGTACTGTCCTTTCCGAAATTTGAGTGCTGTATTCATCGCCTTCAAACCTTGAGTGGATTATGTACTAGACAATAAGATATTGACAATACCAATTTTGTCATGAATATTAACTGATACTAAAACTTATTGTTTTAATATGTGCCTGTCTGTAGTATCCTTTATTTTGAAGAGAGCCAGAAAAAATATTTAAGGCATATATTTACAATATTTCATTCAGTCTATTAAATTTGTTTACACCCTTGCTATACTATACTGATGTATTTTCAAAATGACTTCCAACTAAACTCTTTCATGTAAGCAAGTTAAACCATTTTTGTTATTATGGTTTTTAAATGTCATAGGTTATAAGCAACTAACGAGAACCAAATGAAATATAACGAATTCATGTTATTATATTTAAATCTTTCTTCTGGCTCTCTTCAAAATGGTAGTGGGATCTATGTGTATGAAAGATTCTTTATTTGTTTTCTTCCATAGATGTGTTCCAAAAATGGATCATCATTGTCCTTGGATAAATAACTGTGTTGGTTACCATAATTATAAATACTTCATGTTACTTATATTCTACGGTTTTCTGTATTGTGTATTATGTTTTCTATTTGCCTTATCCTATTTACTAAAATACATAAAGGTAAGTCGTGTGAAATCGTATTATTTATTGTCCAAATAATTTTATTACTTAGATTCGACCGACTAGTGTTGCTAATAATCGATCATGGGGTTTGTTTTGTGCATTTACTCTATCGCTTTTATCGGCTGTGTTTGCACTGGCACTGTTAATCCTGCTTCTATTCCATACGTATTTAATATTTAAAAATAAGTCTACGCTAGAATATTTTCGGCCACCGAATTTTCGTGGTAACAGTCATCGTAAATACGGTTTTAATCTTGGATGGAAGAATAATTTTCTTCAAATATTTGGTAGTAACATCAAGCATTGGCTGTTGCCTGTATTTTCTAGGTAAGATTAAAAAATATTTAATCTGTACTATTCCATTTAATGTTTCGTATTTATAAGTTTAAATAAATCAGACAACGATTGTAATAATATAATATGAATTCGTTTATGTTGTGGATGTATTATAGCTGCTTACAACTTGGAAATAGTAGTAATAATTATATGTGAAAATTATATTTGAAATAATATCAACGATTGAAATTTAAATAATTCCAACGTTTCGTCCGGCTAACTTGTCTGAACCTCTTCAGGGTAATAATCAGAATTAAAATTACCAAAGGAGCTTTTTAACAATCAAATCTTTATTGTGTTAATGCAATCATATATGGATGTTGATTTTAGTAAATAGGATAACATGAGTTAGTTAAATGCGAATCATGTGGAAAGTTCACGATGTGAAAATAAATATTAATGCGATCATATTTGAATGTTGATTTTAGAAAATAGGATAACATGAATTAGTTAAATGCGAATAATGTGAAAAGTTCACGATGTGAAAATAAATGTTAATGCGCAACCTTACACATACATACATACATACATACATACACACACACAGACAATTCATTTCAGTCATTTATTTTCACATAGTGAACTTTTCACATGATTCGCATTTAACTAACTCATGTTATCCTATTTACTAAAATCAACATCCATATATGATTGCATTAACACAATAAAGATTTGATTGTTAAAAAGCTCCTTTGGTAATTTTAATTCTGATTATTACCCTGAAGAGGTTCAGACAAGTTAGCCGGACGAAACGTTGGAATTATTTAAATTTCAATCGTTGATATTATTCCAAATATAAATTTCACATATAATGTATTCTCTATACTCGGCGCCCAATTTCTGTCTAACTATTCGTCCTAATTTTGACGAACATTCGTATAAAGTAGTAATAATTATTTTAAAAAAGGTTGTGTACTTTATATCACAACATCAGAAAGTCTCAATAATTCAGGTTAATAGGGCGTTTTTTTCAATGATGTGTTTCCATACGTTTCAACATATTTTCTTCTGAAATCTTTGTATTATTTAACGTAAAAAGATTCAATCCATATTAGTCAACCTAATCGCTAAAGTTGCACCACCATCCTTAAAGACCTCCGGAGTCAATCTATATGGACCATCTGCTCTTCCTCGTTTTAGATTAACTATAGCCTTTTGAACTTCAGATAAAATCGGGGGATCTACTTTAATATTCCATTCACAGTATCTGGGAATGGTGGGCAGTTGTAGAGTAGCTGAAGGCCAGTTGAACTGCTCCTTAAAATGTTCCGCCCATCGTTCTAAAGTCTGGACTGGGAGCATATGAGTGTCGTCTTTTTCCGAGATTGTCTCACTTACACTTGACTTCTTAATTCCAGTTTCTTTTAGTAGTCTGTACAGCTGTCTTGTGTTACCTAATAAGATGAGTTTACGAAAACCCATCAGTGCAATAGAAATACGCTGGTCTTTTGCAAGCCTTTTGTTTAAATCACTAACAGATATCACTGCTGTTTCCACAGCTATTTGTATGTCTTTCCAAGCAACGTCTGGGTCAGCCTCGTTTTCACAACTACCCAAGTGTGACCTCAGTTGTTCCTGAAACCTACTTTTGGTTTCCTCGTTACTCAATTTTTGCGTCCAGTGAGGCGCAAGCAGATGCTTGCCCGTATTAGAGCATGGTCGGAGTCAAAGCAGGTACTCAATAATGAGCGACAACCTTCTATCGACCCTCTCCAACGAAGACTGATAGCAATATGGTCTATTTGAGTCCATTGTTGGTTTGGTGAAGGAGGTCGCCATGTTAGGCGATGCTTCTCCTTATACTTAAAATTGGTGCTTGTTAAAAATAAACAAATGTCGGAGCACAGTTGCAGCAGACGATCACCATTATCTGTTCCCTCTGCCGGAATACTAAAATACCCACCTAAATGTCCGAGTGTTTAGCTTTCTGTAAAAGTTATCTTTCAGTTCATCAGTTCTGCAGACAGTGGAAGCGTAGGGAGAAACGACGAAAAGACAACGATGTATGTCCCTATCCTTCCGAGTTCTTACGGAGCCGTTTAGCCGAACAGCGCATAGATGACTGTTAACGGAGATCCACTCTAATAGTGCTTGTTCCGTCCTCGTACTTAGTGCTATGTCTACACCTGCCAGTCCTCAAGAACTAACCATCGGGTCGCCAGATACACAGAGGGTGTATCGCGTCGGCTCTCCATTTTGGCGAGGTGAGGTCTAGTGAATAATCACACTAGGATATTGTATGTGTGTTTCGAAGACACAGCATACATCAATAGTACGAGATTCTAGTTTTAGCCAAGGAAGCCTGTTGACCGATTTGACATAGGGTGCTGCGTACATTGAATGCTCCAATGTGTAGTTTGGAGCGAGGTTTCAGTAGACATTGAACAGTGTTTTGCGCACTCGAATCGTTGGCTATGGCGACACTTGAGGAGGAAACCAAAAGAGGAAGTTTAGAGTTGGAAGTCGATGTAGGAGTAATAGGAATTGAAGAGGGAGGTTGATTGTGAATACAGTGGTGCTGTTAGAGGTACGAGGGCGGTTATCACTACCCGGTTGCCCACACCGTGGAAGGGTTCTTCTAGAGGTACCTGAAAAGGAAATTGAATTAGAGGTGGTCTTAATGACCTGAGAGCGTGACCTCAGTGCCCAAGGCACAACTGCTTGAGGTCGGTCACACATGACTTTTTTATGAGTAATTTTCGTGTTAGCTCCGTACTTGTTGAGACCTTACCACCGGAGACGGATATCCGTGGGACAAGGCGAGGTGTACATCTTTAGGGTTGACCTTTTCTAACCCCACCCTTCCTTGTGAGAAGGCAGCATCGCTGTCACGCTGGTTGTCTGAAGGAAACACCTTACTGTCGTCACACTACGACTTCGTCTTCGGACCTTGGGTTTGTTGCTTTTAGTCTTACCGCTCATCAACAGACCTGTTTGGTATGGTAGGACCTTGGAGAACGATTGTTCAAGCCAGTATAGCTCGATTAGTTCATCACGATAGGCAAGCTCAAACACCACCCTAAAGATAGCAACAAATTTTGTGCACGACCATCAGCGATACTACTCGATTACAGGAGTATTTGTCAGTAATGTTTGAAACCACAACCTACAGATCGGAGGTTGAATGCTTGAACTTTTAAGGTCATTACTGTACAATCCTCCAGTAGATGCAACCCAACGATAACAATTACTATTAAGTCAATTAAATCCTTATTAATCATTTAAACGATTTTTTTTTTGGTTTTAGTCAAGGAGACGGTGTCTCTTTCCGAATCCGAGAAATTCCAGCTCATGAAGACTACTCCCTGTTGTTGTCGACTATTTAGTATTAACGAATGAGACCTATGTTTGTCACTTACATATGTTCATACAATTCTGGCTGAATTTGTGATAATTTTTATAAAACAAACTTTCGTTTATGTCATATCAACCAGTTTTTCCAATAAATCCATTAGCTTATCTATACCCTAGTTTTCATTCGTAAATTTATTTTTCTGAACCCGTGATAGTATTTTTCATTTTTGGGAAAAGTATATTTAATTTCCATTTCTTTACATCTCGTCATTATTATGTTTTCACGAACATGCGGCACATCATTCAATAGCCTATTACAATACGTCATACCTACTAACGTCTATACACAAACTAATTTTGAGTGTCTTGTCACTGTAGACAAAATATAAATGGAGTCACACAGCACCCTTCCCCCTCCTGATTGGCAGCGACACCAAATGTAAATAAAGAAAACACAAGTGGAGACTATTGAATGTATTTGAACGCAAAATTACAGAACGTCCTAGTAAAATCTGAAAACCATAAAGTAAATACTTCACTTGCAAAATGTCAATCAGTTGTCTCAGACTTCATTGTTCCTTCGTTTCTATGCCAATCATTTTTGTTCTCACTGTCTTTTCTTTGATCTTAACTTTCTGCCACCCGGCATTCCACTTTTGAATGGTGATACATACTACTTATATCTATCGATGTCAGTGGCACATCACACTACTGCTTAATATTCTTGAACACTGCACTCAACTGGTTCCCGAATCAAAGGAACCTGGAAAAAACGCAAATATATCCCAAAGCAGACGGCAAGTTGAATTAATGCAGTAAGGAAATGTCAGTGTGTAGATAAATTTTACGCCGGGAAACACTAGTTTTTTTCAGTACATCCACTACTGCTGACTGATCGGAAATCGTCTAATCAGCCAGCTCCGTGATTTTTTCGGGACTTGCCTTCATCAGGTCGATTTTTCTGATTGAAATATAGTGAGACGTAACCTGAATTACCGTTGGTTTTTGATGAATCTTTTTTTATCGATTTGGTAAGTGTTTCCCACCTAGTCTTATAATATATTAAGAATTTAATTTGTTACATTGAGATATTTACATTCTGTGGGTGGTCTCTTTATCGCTGAATGCACTAAGATCAACCATCCAACCTCTTTATTTATTGAGCTATGGAGATTAGTAAGTCGAATTTTCGTTCATTTTTAGGCAATTAGCACGGAATCCATGGGTACTGTAGATGAAAATCCATCAGAAACCCAATTACCTGAAATTGTTGATGAATTGGATTATCAATACAGAACTGCAAACTGGCTTATTAAAACCAGAGAGCCATTTTGCCTTGGAGATGATGTAAGAGGTCAACTTTTGTCTCTCTTACGCAAACAAAGTGAATTTTCACGGACGTTGTTTAAAGATAAAGGTGTTTTTAAAGTTCCGTTTACTGAATCTATGCTATTTGAAGAAGACGGATATGGAGAGTATGCTTTGGATTGGTTTCCTCCAAGTGATCAATCAATAATCCCAACCAATATTGTTGTCTATGTTCATGGAGGGTATTGGCAGTTGGTTGGTTGGGAAGAATCCAGTAGTTGGGCAGTTCCTGTTACAAATGCTGACAGTATATTCGTCTCTTTGTCTTATAGGTTAGCTCCAAAAGAAAAGTTGGAGGCGATGCCACAAAACCTATGTCTCGGAATGCAAAAAGTTATGACTCTTACGCATAAAATGTTTGGTAACTTGGATGATACGAAGCTCCGCATAACCCTAGTTGGACATTCTGCCGGTGCACACTTAGTTCTTGAAATGATATATTGGGCTCATATGGAACTCAAATCAAATAATAATTGGCTATGCTGTTTGCAAAACCTTGTTTTAATGTCAGGAGTTTATGACCTACGTCCGATTATCCACACTTACGCAAATAAAGCAATAAAGTTTAAATCAGTTGGGGAGGCTTTGTCTGTCAGTCCAATCCGACACTTCATGCAAGACGGCCCAAACCTACTGCTCAGTAAATCACTTCATTGGATTGTTGCTTGGGCAGAGTACGAATCGCCAGCTATGAAGGAACAATCTAAATATCTAGCGGACTTGTTGAGTAATGCATCAAAAAGTGGACAGGGTTCACCTTTGCAATTTACCTATGAAACGTTTTATATGTCAAATGAAGATCATTTTACTTCACTCCTCGGTCTGCATGATGGTCCAACTCACAGTACTATCCTCAAAAAAATCATAGATCTCAATAAAGTCAAGCCTATTTAGTTGGATCTCACAATATAAAATCATAGAATGAAACAGTGATTTTGAAGCAAATATTTTCGATGAAGTTATATTTTTATATATGCGATTTAATTTTCAACATAAATTATTTGGAAATACAATCATAACTAGTTTAAATAGATAAAACATGTGTATGAGTTAGTCAAATTTTTTTATTCTTAAACTCAGTATCCAGATTAATCCAAAGAATCTTATTAAGAACCATAAAAACGCTAGTGTATGAAATTCATTATTATATATGGTCATTCGGATTTTAGGATAACTTTAAGGTCTGTATAGAAGTTGCCAGTCATTCAGAAAAGAAGTTTCATAAACGAGATAGCAGTTACAACAACAAGGGCAAGATACTTGCGTTTATCTGCGTGCTGACTTAGGAGTGAGGGAGGACACATAGAATAAGTGTATGTTTGGTTGTAAAATTTGAGACTTTCAATGGTGAGTCAAATACCCAGCACTTGTTTTTCGTAATGGAAATAAGGAATGGAGGAGATGAAGCCAACTGCGCATATGTTTTGACAAACCTGCAGATCTTAGACTAACATTTCCGTACTTCATACAATAATGAATTTTGAACATGAAGTAACTTCTGTGCTACTTCGCCTGTGGTTTTAAGACGATTAATCAAAAAAGGGGTAGAAACAGCACCATAGGACAAAGGTAAAGCATATAAACTAGGGAAAGACATTGGAAGTATAGATTACAAGTATTAATGGTGGGCACGCTTGAGTCACTGTAGCCGGTTTTGGCCCGCATAATCCCATGAAGGGAAACGGTGTACAACGACTTCTTCAACTGAGCAAATATCAACTTGTAACCCTTTTACAACTTTTTCTTACGTCCATCAAAGCGATAATTAGGCATCCCTACCTCATGTTTCGATCACTTATTCAACAATTCTGTCACATCTAAGCAATACTTCTGAGGTACATACGATATATACTAATTACATACACATGTACTACTTCCAACGACTTTCGATACGAGGTAAACCACTGATGGAAATATCATACTATTACATGGGATGAAAAGATTGTGTAATACTCCCAGGGGGGTTCTATTATTAGACATGCAGAAATCTTATTGCATTTAGTACCTTGACAAGCGATAAATGCGAAGGGATAGTTCCTGTTTTAACGACGTATCCTAGTTATCCGAAATCACAATAGGACACCAACGAGTAATATATTAGAACGTCTCCTGGCACCTTTCAAAAAAGCATCCTGCACTATTTTGGAGATTACATTTGATTAGTAAAATACATTATTCCGAAACTTATAACCCCCTTATCATTTTAGCCCATTGTCAATGAATATGAAACGTGAAAGCAAATAAAATCTTGCTGGTAATGAAGTACAACTAGAAATGCATCTATGACGCTGATCCATTTTGTTGAAGGTGTTTTATTACACTAACCCAGTTCCAACCTCTAGGTAACTCTCCACCTTGTCCTAGTCTATCTAAGTGCTTCCTTTTTTGATTTTTAGATAACTGAGGTAGTTTATTCTGTTTGCGAGAAACCTATATAAACAATGTATGAAAATGTCAAACAATTTAGACATACCGGTGGGGTTTTACTTGAGAACGAATTGTTTTGTGATGTATCTACTTTATCAACTGCAAAGGATTTAGTAAATCGCTCATAGTTTTCCTTTAAGTACTCAATTAAAGTAAATGTTAGAGCTGAGCCAAGTTGATCTTTAGCCACAGACACTAATTCTTCAGTTATTTCCTCTTTAACATTTAATGGGATATGGTGATTATAAAAAGAATCCATAGAGATACAAGGTAAAACGTCAGGATATCCTTCAGGCCAGTAAACTTGTACAATAAATGAAGAAGTCGTTCCTGCCTCACCTACCTAGATAATTATTTTTTAAAAAGGTAAAACCAACCTTGTATTCCAAATTATAATCGTCTGATATCTTCAATTCTTCTTCATCGAAAATTGATCTTAGCACTTGAGCTTCCTCCTAAAGTATTAGACTAGCGGCACCAAAGCAAACCTCTCTTGGGTCACATATTGCCATTCCTCATTAAATAAATCCTATAAGGCAAAACCATTAACTATTAGCTAAAATAAAAAACAATAAAGATTATCAGAAGTGTCTTGCTAAGAAGACCAGCCCCCAAACCAGTTCTCATTATTAGTCGTCTATTTTTGTCGATCAGACGGATTTCCGAGTATTTTTAGCTTATTAGCACTCACGGAAATTGGTGAAGTATGGTTTTCATCGTACTGTCAACAAATTGTCCGCATAAGCTACACTTTATTTGTTGAAAACCAAAACTTTCTTAAAGTGGCGAATCTTTCGTTGACGAAATAGAGCGAAATAAGGAAGTGAATTACAGAAGAGGAAACAATGATTTGGATATTCAAAATGATTATTTGTGGATGATTTGAAACATTTTGCCACGGGATTGACTAGTTACACAAAGTATCGTACAAGAATCGGCAATACATTTTTAAAGTCTCGACTATCGATCATAGTCACATGAATGTGAGGAGACGAGGGTTATAATTATGTAAAACATAAAAGTCAAAATAAATTTGGAAAAGTAGAGAATGCTTTTACTGTAACCTGTCCCAGAATAATATATGATAACGTAGGTAGAGGAGTCATACAAATCCCTTTTGTGCAGTGGTCTTACTTATTAATACGACTCCAAGTGAGTTAAGTTGGGCCCACAACGGTAGTTCTGATAAATGGATTAGGCTGAAGCGCACACGAGTGCCTCATCAGATAGCCTGATTGTAATGATCTAACGTTATTAAACAGAGAATTTTTTGATATATATATCAGTTTTTCAACTCTAGTTTACAACGGGCAACGTGAAGACGATACAGGGAGCGTCAGTAACCATGATAATTAGTTCCATATATTATTGATTAATAGGTGATCTGCAATGAGTATCATATGGTCGATTATTTATCCCGAATATGTTGTAGTTACAGTATACATATACGCATGTTCCCAAACAAGTAAAAATTTATTTTATCCGAAATCTTGGCGAGACCATATATAAACGACCTTTCAGTAACGCTAAAATGCCTTTGAATATATCTAGAGCTAGGTGAGTTATATTTAGAAAAATTAGAACAAGCATTTATGGTTAGATGTAACAGTTTTGAATAACGTGATTAAAACATTAACCACATAAATAGACAAGTGGATTTCGCGGCGAAATTCCATGACTTGTTGTTTTAAATCTGTTTAGATCTTCCGGAAGTTGATTTTCAACAAAATAATAATCAACAGAATAAACTGTGAACTTAACTCTTTCATATGAAATAAATTTCTCGAGAAATTCGAGATTATCTATCTTCTTACAAGGTTTACAGAAAACCCTATCTATCTAGTGTAAGCTTTTCGATCGACTCATTCTTGAATTCTTAATACGCGGGGAGAGACGGTTTTTTGTCAGCTCAGAAAAGCATTTAGAATATCACAACTACTACTAGTGGATCCTGACAGTTGATACGTCTTTCATACCTCAAAACCTTGAGTGTAAATTTTCCGCCTTCAAAAGGTTCAAATGGTTGTGGACGGAATAGAAGAAGCTTTCGCTTAACAGGCTTCCGTGTCTAGTAGCATGGGATCACCAATACCTTCAGGCAATAACCTAGGTATATTAACAATGAAAGAGAAAAGAAGTTGGTAAATCATAGAAAAATACTATCGTTAGTCCTTAAGAATAGATCAAGTCGCCTCTAAAAGGACTCCTGGGAAGTTGCTTGGACTAACTCAGCTGGCAGAGAATTCCAGCACTTGACAACTCATAAGGAGTAGAAGTTGTGTCTGCAGTCTGTTCTGTAATGTTGTATCCCCAATTTCCGCGTGTAACGCCTTAGGTTAGTATTGAGACTGTAGGGGTAAATAATTCCCCAAAATCAAATAGCTCTGTAAGTTTTCGACATTGGATGCTGACCACAGTTTTAGTGGACTCATCTAGCTGAAGGCGCTCGGTCAAGCATCCATAACCAGATCACGTGTGGGAACGCCGTGCTCAACATCTGCCTCAATCGCTAGCCAGATTAGTGCAAACGATCTTCGATATATTGATAGCGCATCAAATATATCTTCGATCTCCTCGCTTCTGTCTTTTGATTTTACTTGGTGGGTGCGCCTCGTATTAGAAGGTGTTACTGGTTAAAGCGTTGTCAAACTCCGAATACCTGTGGCATCTTCATTGGTGAGCCCGACGTGATCTGGTACACCATATTGTAAACTGTGAGTCTGTTCCTTTTTGTGATTTCATATATCATTGTCTTATTTTAATTTCTTTTTTTTTACATTGTGATATTTTTTTTCCGTGTTTTTGGGTTCATATATATATTTGCCACTCGTTCACCTTTCGTACTTGGTATATTACTATGACTGAACAGACACCTAAAGTATTTAAGTTAAAGACTGTGTCCCCACCCTCTTTCCAGCTTATGCCTTTCTGGCCAGACAACATCGAAGCCTGGTTTTGTTATGCAGAAGCCGACTTCTACGAGCACGGTGTGAACGATGCACGTGCACAATTCCTCGCAGTAGTCAAGGCACTACCGCGCGAATTCAACAGGTACGTAACACCTAGTATGTTTACTAGTGATGTTTCTGATCCATACCAAACACTAAAACAGGCCATCCTTAAACGCGGAGATCTAACCGATCGACAAAGGTTAGACCAACTCCTTAACAACATCGACCTGCAACACGGTTCTGCCACAGACATGTTGCAAAGAATGCGAGAAGTCATTGGCCAAAGAACCTTCGATGACGGCCTATTCAAGCAACTTTTCTTATCCAAACTTCCTCAACAGGTGCAAGCTGTTTTGGTCTCGTTCCAAAACAACGCCGTAGACGAACTAGCGACATCTGCCGATCGCATTCTCGAGATCACTAGGTCTCCTAACGCCGAGGTTTTTTCAGTCAAAGAAAAGCCTCAAACGACCCAGAATGACATAACACAGTTGTGTCATACACTTACGCGCTATCTCAAACTCAGTAACGACCGCAAACGATCACTTACTCCGCGGAGAAGCACATCACGTAGGCGATCCGTATCTAGAACTCGAGAGACGAATAATCTTGATTGGTGCTGGTACCATAACCAGTACGGAAAGTCTGCCAGAAATTGCAGAAAACCCTGCAATTTCCCCAACGCGAAGTCCGTCGACGCGAAGAACGCTTCGGGAAACTTCCAAGCCGGCACGCGTTAACGGCGACCGTAGCCGGCGAACATAGCCGTCTTTTATATGTCACTGATGTGATAACGAGAGTTCGCTACCTTGTAGATACTGGCGCAGAGGTTAGCGTTCTCCCAGCGAATTCCGACGACAGGCTACACGAGCCTGTTTTAAATCTACAGGCGGCAGACGGAAAGACTATCGCTACTTATGGCCAAAGGTATGTTTATCTTAACGTGGGTTTACGCAAACCCATTCACTGGATTTTTGTTGTTGCAGATGTTTCTATGCCAATCATTGGTATGGACCTTCTACAACACCACAACTTAATTATCGATACGCGCAAACGGAGGCTAGTAGACGGAAATACTAATTTATCTGTTTGCCTGACTTTTTTTTCTGGTTGCAGGTTATCCCCAGTCACTATTAAGCACACTATAGACCCCTTCTACCAACCACTACTCAATAAGTATTCTGGCATTTACCAATCGCAACCGAAATTGCCGTGTGTAACCAGCAATGTTACACATCACATCACGACTACAGGACCACCTGTATTCTCGAAAGCACGCCGACTGGCCCCCTAAAAGTTAAGGTTTGCGAAAAACGAATTCGACCTTATGATAAACTTAGGGATCATACGACCGTCAAATAGCCCATGGGCATCTCTGTTGCACATGGTCCCTAAAAAGGACAGCAACGATTGGCGTCCAACTGGTGACTATCGGAGATTGAATGCAAAAACCGTTTCCGATCGTTACCCGTTGCCCCACATTCACGATTTGACAGCTACCTTGAAAGGTGCAACTGTCTTTTCAAAAATTGTCTTGGTAAAAGCTTATAACCAAATTCCTATGGCCACTGAAGACATTCCAAAAACCGCTATTATAACGCCCTTCGGACTCTATGAATTTTTGCGAATGCCTTTCGGTCTGAGAAACGCGGCACAGACTTTCCAAAGGTTCATAGATGACGTTTTTCGAGGTCTCAACTTCGTACATGCATACGTTGATGACTGTCTAATAGCAAGTCCGGACAGAGAATCACATCTCCAGCATCTGGACATTGTTTTCGACCGACTACAAAAACATGGGATTACCGTTAATATTCAGAAATGCCAAATCGGAACCGAATCCTTAGACTTCTTAGGACACACTATAGATGCGCATGGCATTCGACCCCTTAGAACCAAAGTGGCGGCCATTCTGGATTAACCAGAACCGACCACCATCAAGCAATTGCGCACGTTTAACGGTCTGGTAAGTTTTTATAGACGATTCATACCGAAATGCGCGTTACTTATGAAACCCCTTACCGACCAACTTAGTGGAAATGCGAAATCCATTAATCTAGATGACACTACCCGAAAAGCATTCTCCACGGTTAAGGAACATATCGCCCGAGCAGCAATGCTTGCTCATCAGGACCCTAAAGCGCCCATTAGCATCTCAGTAGACGCATCCGACTCAGCAATCGGAGCAGTCTTACAACAATGGGCTAACCACTCCTGGCAACCTTTGGCATTTTTCTCTAGACGGTTGCTAGACACTGAATCGAGGTACAGCACATTCGGTAGGGAACTCCTAGCTATGTATTGTGCTGTCCGGCATTTTCAACACTATATCGAAGGCCGTGAATTTATCATTTTTACCGACCATAAACCACTTACCTTCTCCTTAAGCTCTTCTTCGGACAAGTACTCACCACGTGAGTCTTGACAACTGGACTACATTTCGCAGTTTACTTCAGATATTCGACACATTTCTGGAGCAAACAATGTAGTCGCAGACGCCTTGTCTCGTATAAATTCCTTGAACAGTTCCCAAGGAATCGACCTTTTAAAACTCGCCCAACTTCAAAAAGAAGACAGTGATCTTCAGCACGAGTTGGCCTCAACAACACTTAAACTGCGCATTAAACAGATGGGAACAGGTAAGGAAACTTTACTTTGTGACACATCTACATGTAGGGATCGCCCAATCGTGCCGAAACAATATCGACGCAACGTCTTCGATACGTTGCACAGACTTTCTCATCCAGGTGTTCGTGCAACCATCAAGCTTATAGCAGAACGGTTTTGCTGGCCTGGTATGAATAAAGATGTGAGGGAGTGGGCACGTTCCTGTGTAAGCTGCCAGAAATCTAGGGTTATTAGGCATAACAAATGTCCCTTAGGCTCGTTTAAATCTCCCGATGCTCGCTTCGATCATGTTCATTTGGATTTGGTAGGACCTTTACCAGATTCGAATGGATATTCTTATCTTTTAACATGCGTAGACCGTTTTACTCGATGGCCAGAAGCAGTACCCATCAGAGATATTAATGCTGAAACAGTGGCCCGCGCCTTCGTCGAGAGGTGGGTAGCAAACTTCGGCTGCCCAACAACCATTACTACAGACCGTGGACGTCAGTTTGAATCTGAACTGTTCCGTTGTCTTACCATGAAACTAGGAATCACTCGCTTTCGAACGACGGCCTACCACCCACAAGCAAACGGGTTAGTAGAACGTTTTCACCGACAACTAAAAGCGTCACTATTAGCCTCAAACATTTCTCAGTGGACTGACGCTCTTCCACTGGTCTTACTAGGCATACGCAATGCAGTGAAATCTGACATTGGATACACTGCATCTCAACTCGTTTATGGTACGACCCTTCGACTTCCAGGAGAGTTCGTGGATCCTTCATCCTCTTCGATGGACATGGATCTAACCTCCTACGCGAACAGGCTTACAAACGCAATGCGTTCAGTTAAGCCTGTTTCCACTCGACCACAATCAACTGATGTTTTCGTTCAACCTGACTTACTACATAGTACACACGTTTTCGTGCGTCGAGACTCGCATCGACGACCTCTCGAATCAACATATGAAGGACCTTTCAAAGTTCTTCAACGCGAATCTAAGTACTATATAATAGATAAGAACGGAACCAACGAAAGCATCAGCATCGATCGCCTCAAAGCAGCGTATATAGAAGGAAATCCTATTCACGTCGATTTTCCTTCAATACAATCGCACGACACAACTCCTGCGCTTATAATGCCTCAATCGACAGCAGACACACACGTTGATACTGCGACGGTATCCGAAAATAAACTCAAAACAACGCGTTCTGGAAGAAGAGCAAGATTTCCAGAACACTTGAACGATTACTGCACGTAAGATACAAGTTAACATTTTACATCCTCTCGAATTTCCCTTTGTACTACATATAATTTTTTTAAAAAAAAACCTGAATTTAATATGCTTATATATTATTTTTTTTATTTCAAAAAAGAAAAAAAACAAAAAAATAACGATATTATAAAAATCTTATTTTACGCTACTA